TTCGCCAGCAAAGCGCTAACCGACGTCGAAACACGCTATGCGAATATAGAGAGAGAGCTCCTCGCAGTAGTCTATGGTTGTGAGCGTTTCCACACGTACCTGTTTGGCCGTCCATTTACAGTGCAATCCGATCATAAGCCGCTGGAAAGCATACACCTCAAACACCTCACATCAGCCCCACCACGATTACAGCGAATGTTGCTGAGATTACAACCATACGATATCAAGATCAGATACGTACCAGGAAAAGACATGCTGTTGGCTGATGYACTATCACGACTCTCCCCAGAAGAGAAATACCCGATAGAGAACGAGAGAATACAAGTGCACGAGATCTATCCACATTTCAGCACCGAAATGATCGAGCGGATCAGAGCTAACACGGACTTAGATCAAGAGCTGACCTGCCTAAAGAAAATGGTATACGAAGGTTGGCCAACGATGATTAAGCAAGTATCAAACATGCTGAAGCCATACTGGTCCTTTAGAGATGAAATCACAATTGACGACGGCATTCTAACCAAAGGACAACGGATCATAGTTCCTTCTACCATGCAAAAAGAAATCCTGGACAAACTACACGYTAGCCATCAAGGAGCAGAAAAAACCAAACTCCGAGCAAGATCAGCCGTATACTGGAAGAACATGAACAACGACATCGACAAAATCACCCAATCTTGCGTAACGTGCCAGGAGTTTCTACCAAGTAATCCGAAACAGCCACTGCTACAAACCGAAATACCACCACGACCATGGCACACGATCGCTACTGACCTATTCTACATCAACGAGTCTGAATATCTACTTGTAGCTGACTACTACTCGAAATATCCATTCATAAGGAAAATTCCCAGAGGGCAGAGYAGCAGTAAGCAGGTTATTGAGTTGATGAAGCAGATCTTCAGTGAACAAGGAGTACCAAAGATTGTAAGATCAGACAACGGGCCCCACTACAGCAGTGCTAGTTTACATGAATTTGCCAAAGAATACGGATTTGAACATATCACCAGTTCTCCTCACTACCCCCAGAGTAACGGTTTCATAGAAAACCAAGTCAAGACGGTTAAGGCAGTCCTGCACAAGACCGCAAGAACCAACGAAGACCCCTACATGGCTCTACTCTGTCTTCGGTCCACTCCAATCAACAGTAAGTTGCCATCACCCTCTGAACTACTCCTTGGCAGGAAGCTCCAAGACAATCTACCGCGCTCGATAACTAGGAACCAGAACAACGAAGAGATCATAAAGAGATTAAAGAAACGACAAGAGCTGCAAAAGCACTACTATGACCGGAACACCAAGACAATCCCGGATCTTCTGCCAGGGCAGAACATCAATATTCAAGACCCCTCTACAAAGAAATGGGGACCGGCCACAGTCAAGGAAAAGTTGGACCAACCAAGATCATATACAGTCACTACTCCAAAGGGTGGAGAGCTACGTCGGAACAGAACACACATCAGAGTAGTATAGGGAATGGGGGTTCCAGCGCAATCTCAACACGGGCAAGACCCGTGTCAAAAATCCACCTACGGAAACAACCCACTCCAAGTGTGGTTGGGGGCAACAGCGCAAATATGTTAGTCTATATATGGAGTGCGAAGAATGTAAG